GTTTGGATCCAACCGGAGCACCGAGCCCTGGTTTGTTATTCAGGTTAAAGTGGGAAGAAGCAGCGGGTTTATCGGGCAGCTGAGTGAAGTGGAGCCTGCGGAGGAAACACCGGGACCGTCTGGATGTAATAGTCCGTGGAGGTGCTGCGGTGCTCGGCTGCACAGATAGGAAACCCCTCGGCTGACAGGATGTACCACTCTCTCACTCCGCTCTCTCTCACGCAGGCGCAGAACGTACGTGCTACTTGGCCGTCGGATGTAGTCCGTGTAGTGTGTTCAAATGCAACTGACACAGGGCGACGTGAGGCAACATAGATGACGCAACAGTTGGCTTTTGTCACCGCTAGTTCTTTGATGTCGGTTTGGTGTGTCCGCACCTTAAGAGTTAAAACATTCACTTTATTCTGACTGACAACAGCTGACAACAGTCACCAGCTGTTTGAGTCCAGAAAGATCAAACTGATTATTGTCAGTGCAGCTAAACTACAAAGCTACTTCCTCTCAGTCACTTCCTGTCTTCAGTTTGGTTTGCAAAGTATTCAGATTCTTTACTGCTCTGAAACTACAAACACCACAGTGTCAAAGTGAAGTGTGACTCAAGAGGTAAAAGAGTAACTGAAGATGAGGACAGAACCCCAGTTTGAATTTTTAATTTCGCCACACGGCCTTCCTCAGCATGTTCAGCTAACGTCACAAACAGTGTTCACAGGTGGGTTGATTAGAGGTGAACACCAACACAACACAACACAACACAACATCAGTTGGTGGTCACCTTTAATTAACACTGACATAACCTGAACACACACACACACACACACACACACACACACACACACACACACTGAAGAACTTTCCCAAAATGTCTGTGTGACTGTATTTAAGATTCAAACTGGAGCACCGTCCTGATGGTTACTTTATGACTCACAGTGAGGATTCAGACTGTGATGTGAGGGTTGTTTCTAAATCACGAGGTCGTCAGGTTAAACCAGTCCTGAGTGACTCCCAGGAACCAAACAGGGTCCAGGTTTAAAGGACTGATGCTCACCTTTAAATAAAGGATCTGTAGACTTCCTCTGACGCTGCTCATTTATCAGATATTTGTACAAAGTGAAGGAGGAAGTATTTCAGGCTGTAACTGTCCCACTGACGGCTGTAAGAAATAAACACGTTCCTTTCTGTTTCTCTTTGACTTGAGGACCTTGAAGTCACCTCACAGTTACAGCTGCATCACGTCTGACCTTCTTCACACAGAGACGACAGACGACTGTCAGAGAAACTGATCAGAAGATGAACCGTTGTCTTGTTTTAAAGCAGAAGGTAAAAGTTTCAGACACTGTTTTCTGGAACAGATTGATGTTTAAGGATGAATGCATGAAGCTGCTCTGACTGCGTCCAACACTCACGTCCCCGAGGTTAATGAACTGTTCAACTGTTTCTACAACTTCAGTTTCTCTAATTATTTTAAGCAGTCACAGACTTTAACTGATTTCCTCTCAGACGTACAGAACATGTTTATTCACGTCTGAACACCATTCAAACTTTAATGTGTTTATGAAACGTGTAAATCAAACTTTTCATTATTTCTGTGAATATAAATTCACACATGTTTAATGCTGTCAGCAGCAGGTGACTCTAACTCTTTATCAGCAGCTGGAGCCTACAGGAAGTACTTCCAGTTAAATAAAGGGTGCTGTGAGTCTGAGCTGTTGCTGCCGCTCCGCTCGGTCGGTATCCGTGTCCCTGAAGTGAGAAGGCTTTTTCCCGTTTGTCTCACAGGCGGCCGCAGTAATCCTGTTTGCTGCCTAATTGATACAAATGAGAGGGAGGCCGATTGGTTTGAGACGGAGAGTAAAAAGGTCCTCTGGGGTTAATTGTTCTCCATAAAGCTCCTCGCTGCGCTCACGGTCAGCCACAGATGGAATTTCATTAACCTGAGTGGGAGCAGGAGAGCCTCTAATGCAGACCCTGGATTCTCACAACAGCTCCATGCATTTTATATGAGCTGCTTATTACAGGCCGTGTGCACGCCTGCCTTCAGCTTTACTTTGCTCAAAGTGTCCCGGCCGGTGTTCAGCAGGTGCTTCATTGATGCCAGTTACTCTCTGAGCTCCTGCTGCTGCAGGGTTTATTCCACTGTTCAGACCTTCTGTCAGCAGCGTGAAGATAAATGTTTCCATCCTACGTGTCTACAAACCTCAGATATGTTTGTCAGCAACACTCTGTGGTCATGTTGGTGAAGGTTCTCATGGTCATGGTGATCAGAAGTGCTGTATCGAAGCCAACTGGACGCTTCATGTCTCATCCAAGAGGCGTCTTCAGATCTGAGGCTCTGACGCAGAGTTTAAAGCCTGCGACTCTGCGTCAGTCTGTTCGAACTGAAGACGCCTCTTGGATGAGACATGAAACGTCTTCAGTAAACTCAGATACAGGAACACTTATGGTTAGAAGGGCTGCACAGTCACACCTGAGCCACAACACACACACACACACACACACGCACACACACACACACACACACACACAGACTCTTCTCAGTTTTTTTCCAGTTCCTCACCTGTCGACATGTGGAGCGCAGCTCTGTGAGCGTCTGCCAGGTGAGCGTCTACTGTACCAGGTGCTGTCACTACATCACCCTGTCACCACATCACCCTGTCACCACATCACCCTGTCACCTCTCCTCTCCCCTCCTCTCCTCTCCTCTCCTCTCCTCTCCTCTCTTCTCGGCTCTACTCCTCT